TAGTTTAAAATAAATATAAAACACATTACAATATACCTTGTTTGTTTAGTCTCATTAGGATAATCTTGTTTCCATAAGAGAACCTTTGCGGGTGAAATTGATTCAGGAGTTTTTGTTGTTTTTGTTTGAAACTTGCTTTCATGTAGTTTAGAATTTCGTTCAGTATTCTCTTTGACAGCTTTATTTTGTAATGCTTAAAAATATAAATTTTTTTAGCTCATCCTTAGTAATATACAAGTGAAAAACATTTTTTATTACTTTGATTTAATTTAGTTTTCTTGTTAAATGGTGCCACCACTGATGTAATTATGTTATGATCAACATTTTCGTTATTTTCACTACTTGTCGTAGAATCTGAAATAAATATTTTTTGATGGCAAAATACTTTACAAAATATAATTAAATTTACCATTTTCTGAAACAGCATTATACATTTTTTTGGGAAGTGATAAAAGTTTTGCCTTTAGATGTGCCGGACATGGTTTAACTCTTAAGCGATATAACTTTCTAATGTTGGGTTGAAAATAAAATGCTTTATAATAGCTTTGAAGCAAGCGATCACGATTCAAAAATTTTTCTTCTGAGGGTTTAAGGATTATTAACGAACAATCTGTGTGTATCATATCTTGATATATTTGATCAATAACCTCATTATACAAGGTATACTTTTTAAATATTTCTAAACTAACAGGAGGATTATGCTTTTGTAGCTCTGCATTCTTGTCATCGAAGTTAGGTAAAATAAAACTAAAAAAATAAATTTTTAATTTAAATAAAATATTTTCATTCTGTTGAAATCGTTATTAAACCTTTTCAATCTTCGTAATACTTGAATTTTTTCGTTTGAAGTTTTTTCATCCATATAACTGTAAGATATTTAAATAATTTGTATAAATTATATTATATTTACATTGAAATGTTAACATCATACCTATGATGTAGATCATTATCTTTGGATGCCTTAATTTCTAACGCTGGAAAATTTCACATTTTTTAGTACTAAGTAATACAATTAATTAATTAATTAAGTCTAACTCACCTAATGAACATTTTTCCATATTTTTATCTTCTTTCCTGCTTCCTAATTTTGTTTTCTTATTTAAATGTTCCTTCGTATTAGATTTTATAACATCTCTATTACTTACTGTAGGCTCTAAAATAAATATTACTTAATAGTAAGGTTTGTGACAAAATATTTTTATTTACCTTCATGATCTGACGTAATTTCTGGATATTTCAAAAGTTTGTCCTTTAAACGTCCTGGACATGGTTTTATTTTCAATGGAAATATTGTCCGAATAACCGTTTGCATGTAAAATGTTTTGTAGTAACTCCGAAGTAATTTATTATTATCAAATAATTCTTCTTTTGATATATTTGAAATTGGCAACTCATACTCCAACTCCTTTATGCTTTGGCAAATGTTATCAATAACATCATTGTGAAATGTGAACCTTTTAAACGTTTCAAAACTGACTGGAAGGTTGCACACTTTTTCATTTGTTTCTTTGTTATTAGCATCAAAATTTGATATAATGCTATATTTATAAAAAATATCGTTTTAATAAAATAATTTATTTATTTAAATAACTTAAATACCTCTTTAGTCCCAGGATCTTTTCTTCTAATATCTTTTTATCGCTAACGCTGTAATGCACATACATAAATTTTTTATTGTCTAAATGGTCAATAATTTCTCTACTTAATATTTACCTATTTATATTTTTATCTGGAGAACTATCTTGTTTCTTTAAACTTTGTTTTACGCTTTGATGTTCATTATCTTTATTTTCACACAAATGTTTATAATATTCTGGAATTTTAAACAAACGTTGTTTTGTATTTTCATCACAGTCACTAGTGATGCGAACATATTTCATTGGTGCCATACATCGTCGTTGTGGTCTTTTGTAAAAAACGTTATATGTATTTTTTACCCTGCTCATGATTTCTGGTGCCGTGAGATATGTTTCTAAGGCTGTTGAATATTTATCTTTAATATAATCTTTAATTACTTCGATTATGTTTGTATTTTCAATGAACTCGTCGATCGTGACTGGAAAGACTGATCGAGTTTTTAATTCTTCACGGGGTCTGAATCAGAAATAAATAAATTATTTTAGCATTTGTTTATTATTATTAATTCACTTTAACTTACTTTTCTTGCAGACTTATATCCTCCTTTGGTTTTGGACTAGTTTGTGTTTTTTTTGTCTTAATTCGTTTTATATTAGTAATTTTGGTTTGTTTAACATTTTTTCGCTTTCTGGGAGACATTTTTAATTTCACTTTGTATTCAACAATTTAGTTTTGTAATTAAAGTTAAATTCAAATACAATTTTGTAAATGAACTTCGGAATTAGTTCCAAACAAACAGGGTTCATGAAAGAAAAAAAATTTAATAGGTTATTGCTGGTTTTACCAGTTGGTAATAATATCGTAATTTATATAATAATATTGTAAACATATGATGCGAAATATAAAGAACAAATCTAGTTCTTTAATTACAGATTTTCCATACAAAAGTTAACTTTGTTTTGGTCGGGATTAATTTGAAATCTCGTTAGAAATGGTGATTATTTTTCTGTGTTACTCTGTAAATGTCTTTATAATGTAGATTTTTTACGATAATAAAAGATTTGGAAAAGAAATGTCTATTCAAAACAAACATTGAAAATTTGAAAATGGCGAAGTGAGTGAAATTCTTATCAAATTTGTTTAATAATAGTGTTGTATATAATTATAAAACTATTTATAAAACTATATAATTAATTTATATTATAATTTTTTAGTACATAGTTGTTAATCTCGTTTTCTTAATTCTGCAATGTAAACGTAGTATACTATGCTTACATTGTAAAATTAAGAAAACAAGATTAAACGAGTTAATCTGCATTTCTAATATACCCCGTTTACATTATACATTGGAGATTAATTGTGACGGTTTCTCTTGTGTTTTGTTTCATGTGTTTAATAATATTCTATAAATAAAGTATTTTAACACAACTTTGAAGAAAAAATTTTTAATACAAATTAAAAAAAAATTGTTTTATAACAAAAATTTAGCAAATTTTAGTTAAAATTATTTCTAAGATCGTAAAAAAATCTTCGATATTGAGACATTTACAGAGTTGCATAGAGAAATAATCGCCATTTCTAAAGAGATTTAAAATTAATCTTGACAAAAATAAAAATAACTTTTGTACCGAAAATCTGTGATTAAACAACTGGATTAGGACTTTAATCTCGATGTTTGGTTTAATGTACTTTTAATCTCATAATAGGTCTGTTCCACGAGCTACACATAGTAAACCATGAGTAAAACAGAAGTAAAGTACAAACTCAGAGCGTAACACAAATAAAGTGCCAGATTATGCTCTTTACACAAATTTTCATGGAACAGTTTTGTGTAAAGTCTGGTGAAAACAGCTGTTTTTTGAAAAACAAAACAGTAGAAATAGAAATTGAAAAATAACAGAGAAACACATTTTGAAAACCAAATAAACAAAACAACAAGCCAAATATTTTTAAATACTATTTAAAATTAATTTATTTAAAGTTAAATTTTGTTTTAATAAAGTGAGTTAGAGTGCTGTTATATAAATTTATTATAAAAAATTATACAGCTGTCTAAAACGTTGTTTTAATATACCAAATGCATTTTCTATTAGTATTCGACCTGACCCCAATTTTCTATTGAAATTCTTTTGTGGACGAGTAAGACGCCCGTTGTCTTTATATGGCGTAATGATGTGTTGTGTACAGGGGTATGCGGAATCAGCCAGTAGATAGTATTCTGTAAACGTAAGAGGTTTTAATAAATCTCATTTCTTTTTCCAAAGAACTTACCTCCACACTTCGATGGTAGTTGCATATAAATAGGAGAGTTTTGTAAGACCCAACTGTCATGACAGGAGCCTGGATGTCCGATAAATATGCTAATAAATTATCTGTTTTCATCACAGATGGCTTGCAAGCATAATGAAATATTTCCTTTTCTGTCCTTTCCTTTTCCGTAAGTAGTCGTCCTTACGATCTCCAGGAGGATCAATAGTTATAGGAGTGCCATCTAAGCAACCCGCAAAGTAACATGTATTATTATATATGCAGCGTTAATATGCACATAAATCCTTACCTATAACTTTTGAAAAATTGCATAAGCTTTTTTGATGTGCTAGGCCATGCAATTATATCCGGACACATGTTGCTAAAGAAAGTTATCATCCTTCTTATAACTCGGTTTACTGATGATAAAGAGAGATTAAAGCGATCTGATAAATCTCTAAAACAACATGCTTCGTGACTAGCAAACCATAAAAAAACAGCAACGTGAGCTTCTGAAGAAATGTTCAGCTCACTTACTCGCAGTGCAATAAAGTCGGTAATATTTTGAAATTTTATAGCCAAAGAATTAAAAAGACTCCGCGAAATGCGGAAATGAGTTTTGAATTCCTTGTCGTCATATTTGTAAACAACATCTTGTATATAATTTTTTATACACACACGTTTTCTTTTTTTTTTATGTAATATCGAATACACCAATTCTACATCATCGTCAGAGTCACTATCTCGAAGTGTATTAACTACGTTATATTCTGGTTGTGTTGTGTTACTTAAATCACTTAATAAAATATTTATTATGTTTTTATCCATTTCAATATTTATTTATTACAGTTGTTACAATTAAAAATGCAGAATTTTTTAATATTCACACATGCCGCGCAAACAAACAATACAAAAATTTGAATTCAAACCATAAGAGCTGATTTACGCATAAACACAAATTTTACTTCATATAAAATGCATGAGTAAAGTCTGTGTAACATTTTCAAATTTCGACAGGGATGTAACGCTCTCTCAGATGCTCTCATTTACTCACAAATTTGTTCGTGGAACGCACTTGTGTATACACAGTGTTACTCAAAGTTACTATGTGTAGCTCGTGGAACAGACCTAATGTAAACGTAGTATAAGAAAAGTAGTTTACCCAGATCGTGCTGGAATGCTTTCAGATAAAAATAATTATGGGTTTATTTTATTTATATTTCATAGTACGTAGGATATTTATTATATTTATACAATATATCATAAATATATCATATGATATATGTAAGAGAATAAATAGGGCATTTCCACAAATTACTTAAAAAGCTTGTAGTAATGTGGAGAATAATGTGAATAGTAATAGAGATAATTTAGAGATTATATCTGCTTCTATTTAACTGTATAGTTATATAATGGCTAATATAAAACCGATATATATATATATGCTTATTTATAATTTTTCGCAGTGTCAATGTTTACACATTGTTTAGCACTAGCATTTACCCAACATTGTGCAGCAATAATCACCATTCTTTATGTAGAATCTCTTTAAGAATATACTAATGCGCTTAGAGACTTCCAAAGCTTACAGCATATATAAGCTCAATATTTAAAACAAAATATAATATATCCCTAAATATTTTGATATATACTCCCAATAACATAAAAAAATTTAAAATAGTAAATTAATATTAACAATAATAGGTGGCTCTACCAATTACATCACCGTAGCGCACTGTCTCTGCGGAAGTAGTTTGTGTAATAGCCGGTGTAAATCCAATTAATTTTCAAGCAAAGGAACCCCTTAGAGTATACAACAAAAAAATGACCGATTACTATACTCAAGAAATGGCAAGAGATAATTAGGAGCAAACTATCGAAATGTGGCAACAAAGTTGAAACAATAGCACCCAAGGAAGCTAGACTAATACCAAATAGGATCACCTGACTCAAACAGAAATCGGAAGACACAAATTACTATCTCATTCAGATGCTGACTGGGCACGGGAAAGATGGATTTACTCGACATTTATGGTGACGGGGTCTGTGACGACGTAGAGCACATCTTCTTTAACTGTAATAGGTGGCATACATTTAGAGAAGAGATAATAGCACAGATTGGACCAATAAATCCTGAAAATGTAGTGGAAAAAATGAGAGCGAACCCAGAGAGCTGGGGAACGATAGAGTCATATGTGATTCAAGTTCTCAAAACGAAGAAATTAGACCTAGAAAGAAGAACCAATAACTAGAATAACTAATAGTGCATACACCAAGAAAATGCAGTGAAAAAGTGAAGGTCTGGACGCAGATCAAAAATCATATGCGCATTACTTGAAATGCCAACATAAAAGACTCCCGAGGGGGGAAAAGTCGCGCCGAGGGGGTGTTTTAGACCGTATGTTACATATTAACGTTATGGAATCGGGCACAATTTCGACGACAGTCGGTTTGACGATGCATAAAGCATTCCACCTTCTTACCACAAAAAAAAAATATAGAGATATTAAAAATGTTAAAATAATTATTGTACTCACAAGCTATTTCAAAATAATTTCGTTACTAAAATTTCGCTTTACAATATCTACTTTTAAGAATAAATTTTTAATTTATAAAAACAAATTCAAATAAAAAAATAAATTTTTCTATAAAGCTCTAAATATATAACTCGTAGAACAACGTGAACTTAGTTTAAATTATAATGTATAAAATGATATTATGATAAAAAATAATATGTAATTTTGGAGTTATTGACAAAACATTGAAAGTATTGAAAAAAAAATCAGAGTGGCATTGTTACATATTACATAAAACAATAAAATTAAATTAATTAAAAATATTAAAAATTATATACTAAAAAAACACAAGCATATAAGTAATGCAAAAAAATGATACTACGTCATAATTCGCCAACTAAACGATAAGAATTTTGGGCTTGGTTACAATGTTTTTCTAATATAATTTCGGGTTTTTTCAACAATATAAGTATTCATTCTATATTCACTGATCATCTCTGATAAACTGACGGCATTAAGAAGAACTAACTGCAGCCTAACGGTCTTTAAAAGTTAATGAACAAAAAATGTCGTTGATAAAGCGAGTTTTTTCAATGATGTGGTCCAGTATGAATAAAAAGCAAACAAAACATGAAAAGAAGCTGATGCAAAGACGAAGGTAAAGTTTCAGTAAAAAAAAAGAAGAGAATAAATTGGTATATAGCTATATAAATTTCCAGATTATATTTTAAATATCTAATCTTACAAGAATTTTGAACAAACCCCGAGTTACGATTCGGATCTAATCCAAATATATTATATGTTTTAGGATTCTAAAACAGTTTGATTGTCTGATAGTATAATATAAATATGTTCCAATATTCACAT